TATTAACCACGTATCTTCTGAGGTTGTTCAGCTGAAAATTCTTACATACCTTCCGGTTGTGATGCTGGGTTAATTGATTAAAGTCATGAGCGTATTAACTTATCATATCCGCGGCAACACATGGTTTACCTTAACAAGAATGCAGCCCCTGTATCTCTGTAGTTTCTCGACTCTATCTATGTATGAACATGTGTGAGCTTTTGTCCATACTTACAATGACACTGCTGAAATCGATTGCTGATTACAGTGAACGCGATCGTCTGTATTATTCGCTATATATGTGTATATATATATAGCAATCCATTGCTAACTGGTAACCGCGATTGTTTCCAAGGTGACTAGCTTCTGACACCGAACATATTTTTGCGCTGACAAACAGATAATGACTCAAATTTGAGAGCGTCAAAGTTTATTTACGCACTTATAAAGTGTGGTGACTTGTCTTTTAAAAACAATATATGGCTAATCGTATTTGCATCGGACTGGGATGCAATAAACGACTACCAGCAGTTTACGGTTATAACAATGTATGATGGATGTATACAACGTATAACGGCTAATGTAAACTCATTTCGCTACACGCACAATTTATTGCCAATCAGTGACTGTACTCTCAGAGCTATTTCCGTTGTGTTTGCGTTGAATGTTGTGTAAATTCAGTAGAGCTTGTCCTAGCATGACCCCTATATATCATATACCCTATGTTGTTTTGTTGTAAGATAGTATAGTTATTAATAATTAGTCCACATAAACAAAATTAGTGAATTTTAGTGCAACGTATAAAGCGGCAGTTAAGGGGAGGGGGGGGGGGGCTCCTCTAGTTAAGCATAACCTCGCAGCAAATATACTGGATTACAATTACATTGGAAAACAAAATACAGATTACTAGTAATTAGTGTAAATAGCAGAAACAAATGTGTCACGTAATTTCCTGGTACAATCCTCGGGATGAGCAGCTTCTCCACTAAGCCATCGGCAGAATTTGTATCTTTTTTTACCTCCATGTTTGTATCAACTTCTTTAAAGCAGAATAATTCATTGAAACAATGAGTTAATATATCTTGAGTAGCCAAGAGTGAAATTCCAATAAACACTGATTTGTAAGAGCACGCACACACAGATAGGCCTATCTTGATGGCAATTACCTAGAAAAGTTTATCAATGTACTGTAAAATTGGAATCCATTGAAACATTGAAATTAATTGTGTATGAACGTGTAGTCGTTTTGTAGAATACATAGAAACTAAATAAACCATGAGATTTACGATAAAAGGGTGCAGTTGGATTATTGAATCCATGGACTAACATTTCCTGTTGCTGCGTATCTGCGATTAATGGATGTTTTTTTTTTTTTTGTTTTGTTTTGCTTCAGATGGGTAAGACGCCCAGGATGATGTTGCTGCATAATCACTTGTTATCAGGTTTTATACTCTATCTATCGCAAAGTTCACATGTTGTGGTGTAATCAGTAGCAAATGTACAGTTGGTAATCGTTTGGTAACACATACCATCAGTTTTTGTATATATAATTACAATAATAAAACCACCGTCAATGGTTCGAACGAAAACCATTTTAAATTTTGAACTTCATAAAATAAAATAAAAGCGAAATATAATTACACGAGCTGACCTAATGTTGTGAATTGAAATCAATGATCGCACTAGGTGAACGATGCCAGTATGTCTAGACTTGGGTCGATCACGTGTTTGAATGTAAGAGTGCGACAGCCACCTGCTAGCTTACAGACTGAAGCATGAAACCGCTTTGTCTATATCAACTCGTCCAACCCTCAATCTTTGAACCTATTGGGAGAGCAAAGAAAACAACCGCATTTGCGCTATGTTAGCTCCCGCTGCTTTCACCGGGTTTTCCAGTATTATGTATTAGACAATACACACACCATTTGGATACCTGCCAACGGGTACATTTGTCCTTCGGCGGTGTCCCTACTAGCTTCGATGGAAAGCAAGACCGGACATTGCTTACGCTGACGTCATCGTTACACACTCTAGTGAATTTGTACAAAGTCAACAATTTGAAAGATGGTTGAAATTCTCAACGTGAAAACGTACTATTGTGGTAGCGAATATATTTGTTTGGCAACGAGGAATGTTATTTACAACTTACGAATCGTTACATAACCTCGAAAATAAGTGACACATTGTCAGTAACCTTTTTCTAGTAACACATTTTTTTTTCGTGGAGCAAATCATTGGGTCTCAATACGTCTGCGGTTTTCGAAGTTTGTGTTCTACATATTTTGGGTAAATATGAACAATGCTATTGTGCATACAACTAATAATTGTGACGAGTGTGCCGGTGTTATCGTCTCAAACCCCTTCATTCATTATTGGAATTTATGTAAATTATATGAATGAACTGTCATTGGCATATATAATTTACGTCGCAGTGGTCAACATAAAATGTGTAGTACTATAAGCAGATTGTTTTGGCCGAGAGAATATTGCGTTGTATTGAGACAGATGAGGGGGCGCACACTGGATCATAAGATGTGACAATATAAGTGACAAATAGATTAATACTATTCTTTTTTTCATTTTTTTTTATTGTCATCCAATTACCAGCAGATACGACCATGCATAATATATGTTACGTAATAAGGATCCTTCACCATATTTTAGAACGCGTGCTTTATTGAATTCCTAAATATTCTGGATGAAGTCGCTCTTCCACGTTTTTTATAATCAGTGAGCACAGTTGTTTTATTACCATAATTTCAATTCACATTTCAGCACATGATTTCCCCCTTATTTAGAGCAACCTACCGAGGATATACTCCGTATAATCCAAGTCATGCATTCTTTTCTACATGTATTATAATATCAACTAATGTTCCTATGCTACACTTTATGACATGCATTTTTTTCAGCTTTTCTGCTTTTGTAATTTTTGTTTGACAATGTTTATCATTCAAATAATTTAAACAATCACGTTCACTATTGTATGATCTATTTCCAGATGTGGATGAATGCGAATTGGGTGTTCACAATTGCCATACCCATGCTGTCTGCCAGAATACACCCAACTCCTTCAGATGTTCTTGCCTGAATGGTTACCGTGGCAACGGAGTAGTCTGTTCAGGTTTGTATTTCTCAGTATTTTGTTGACTACGAGTTCTAACTATCTGCGTGCTTCACTAACTGTATGACTTTTTAGCTCCGCTGCCGACTTTGTCGAGTGCAGCTTATCATATGAGTGATTTTCCGTCGTCGTTTGGTGTCGTGCATCGTCGTCCTTGTCAACTTTTTACTTTACTTTTTCTACTGCTTCTAAAAAACTACATCTTATTGCTTTGATACTTGGTGTAGACCTCTCTCAGATTTGTTAATTTCGTGATGATATCTTCATTTTTCTAATTTTGATGAATATTTGTTTTCATTTTTGGTAACGATGAGTATTTTCAGCTTTGATATTATACTATGGGTAACTACAAGAAGACATCTCTCAGATTTGTTCATTTCGTGATAATATCTTCAATTCTCTAATTTTAATGAATATTTTTGTAATTTTCGGTAAAAAGTGATTTTTTTTCAAATTTTTGTTGAAAACAGCAAGTTGGATTGCTTTGATACATGTAGGTACCTCAGATAGACTTCTCTCAGATTTGTTCATTTTCTAATGATATCTTCGGTTCTTTAATTGAAATGGGCATTGCTAACAGCGGAGCTATCTCAGTCAAGAGGTTGCTTGTTTAAAATCGTGACATGTTTGTGAATATATTAAACAAGTTATTATACAAATTATTTCTACTTGTATGAACATTTGAAGCGCTAGTGTCGTCGTGCAACGCGTTTGAATTCAATGTATCGTTTGCTTATTCGGCGCATGCTATCCACAATGAATGTGTCGCTGAGTGGGGACTGTGGCCCGTTAAGATGGTACTGGTCCCTGAACTTTTCATGAACTATGATAATATTTATTGTTGTGGGATTGTTTGTTCACACAGTGTCCTTGCTGATGCAGGGCAAACTATTATGATGGATGCTTTCAATTATTAAAGAAACTTCATTTCAACATATTAAAAAAAATGTATAAATATATTTCAGAAATGTGATGCATTTCTATAGTGGTTGTACGATTTCAGGGACATTTGTGTTCTTAATGCATTAGTTACTATCTACTTTCCTGTATTTTCTATCTGATGATGCTCCAGAACCACGCGAAGAATAAATTAATATGAGTAATTTGCAATATGCAACTGAATGTTATATATTAATACTAATAGTCTATGCCAGGCCAACATATACATACTTGTTCAAAATATTATAGTACGTTTGACAATTTTAGCATGTAACCAATTACATTGTGAGATCACGTCTCGACTTATACACGCCTCAAGCACTACTCTTAGCGGTGTATAGTGCCCTAAGTAATTATAATGCAGAGGGCGATTACTGGTCAGGCTACAGTAGTTCGCATGAATGGCCATGGATACAATGATCAAATATAACGATTTGTTGTTCACTTATACTTTAATCTGTATTCCAAAGGGCGCCAATTTAAAGTTGATATGGGATTGCGTATAATTGATGATGTACAAGTCACTTGCATTTTACATGTTTATCAACATTTTATCCACGTT